ACATTCCGCCCGGTTTGAGTTGCAGCCAAAACGATGTGATCGGTTGGGTATCATTGAACCGGAGCTGCCATTTCTGTTGAACAGTCACGTTGAACGAGACACACGAGTCTGTCTGAGGCCACCCGCCGTATGCCGCCCCCCAATAGTATTGGTTAGAGTCGGTAGTGTTGGTGGCATTTGGTTGCGGCCGAAACCACTCACGTATTACTTCGCCGGTCCCGTAATCTGTGGCTAAGATACCCATCAGACTTACCGCTCCTCCGTATGTTATCTCTGCGTTAATACATAGATTTATTGCTTATTTATTACATATGAAATTATATTACACTTTTAAAATGTATATTCAATTGAATACTACTGACCGCATCGGCCGGCCGTCCCTTTCCAGTGGCCATTGAGGCAAACCTTGCCCTTTGTATGCGTATACATAGAGTGATAGGACGACTCACATGTGTAAGTCATATGAGTGCCGTTTGGATAGTGGGTCCTAATATCGGCCGACCTGTATTGCGATGGCGCTGGCTTTGCAAACATTGGTAACGCTGGGAGTCCACAATCATTGCTCTCAACTGGTGGGCTATGAGTTATACATTAATTTTAATTAACACTACAAATAACTTAACAATTTATATACATATCAGGCACATCTGTTGCATTCACTAGTTTATTTTCAAACGCTTCAGAATATTTATCAAGTTTTAATTCGTTTAAATCTGTAAAGTATATATAAAAATGTAATCATTAACATAATAATTTATATACATATCAGGCACATCTGTTGCATTCACTAGTTTATTTTCAAACGCTTCAGAATATTTATCAAGTTTTAATTCGTTTAAATCTGTAAAGTATATATAAAAATTTAATCATTAACATAATGTTAATTAAAAGTATATGTATTAGTTTGCCTACCAATACAATATGGCTCAACGCCACTCCAGACACCGCTATCCGTGCAAATCCTTACGGAGTCGCCAATCATTATTTGTGACTGATTGGCAATAGATGTGTCACAGGTATAGATGGCACGCGAGCCCGCAATGGCCACCGATTGGCCGTTCGAGGCGTTTCCGAAAGACATTAAACCTTCAAAATTGGTCACAACTGTTATCAGATCTTGAATGGCCGACTCGGTTGGTATGGGACACGAGACAGTGGGTACGCACGCGGGAAACGAGTCCAACCAGTAGTTGCTGACACCGCACCGAACCTCTTGACTACCGATTAGATGGAAATCCTTATCGCAAGTATAGCTATAGTACGGCATTCGTCCGTATTTACTGCCGTACAGTACAGAGTCTACGTGTGAGTGGAGGGGAAAGTCTGGTGACCCGCACTGATGCGGTCGATAAAACTTGCGGTAAAAGAATCGCATTTCGCATATTGACAACGACGAGGTGTTAAACCTATCATTGTTTTTGATCAGGGTAAAATAAAGTGATTTTTGTTATGAGATTACAGTTTTTCAGTTATATTCAGAGAATTGCATTAAAGGTAAATATAAGACCCCAATAGTAACTACAATAGTTAAGAAAGACACCCCAAATAGTCACTTACGTGGTTACTAACGTCTCACTAACGTTTGCGTACAATTTACAGTAAGGTATAATTTAATTAAACATATTGAAAGTTATGACAGTAAAGTTTGAGATTTATAAAGTGGTCATATAGTGAAGGATAAACTCTAAGACAGCCATATTTATGTAATTTGAGTTTGAAAATAATGAAACACATATTCAATGACATACTTTAAAGTGATATTTCTAGTGGTGTCCTGAGAATAGTAGGACCAAAAGGTCTCCTCATCACTATTTGCCACGAAATCGCACATAAACTTCAATCTCATGAGATATAGCGGTGCGACCGCCGGCTCGATAACAGTGGGCGCACACGTGCGGACTGAGTTCAACACAGTGTCTGTCACGATGTCGGCGCTGTTCGTGGGCTTCAATGTCTGCACAACCACTTCAAAGTAGGAGATGTGTGAATACGATCGCTTGAAAAACACCTTAAATTGTGTGACCGGTTTATATGACATCGTCCGTTGGCTATATAGACAACTATCGGTCGACGGATTGCCCACATATGCCTTTCCCAATCGGCCCGACACACGTTTGGTTTGGTTTTTCACTCGTCCCAACCTGTCTCTAACCAAAACACTATTTATGGTGTTTTCACCGATTTCTTCCCCTATTGTTTGTAGTGTTTTAGGATATATATAAATATAAAATATGTTTTTTGTTATGTATTAGTTTGGTTTTTAAATTATAAATTGAAATGCTATTGTAATTGTACCACAAAAAGGGACCGGACCCACCCAGTCCCCGTTGGTGCACACTCGGTGTTTTCCATTCAATAAAACAAGTTCTGGTAATTCACAATAGTATTCAATTTGAAAGCCTTCTGAGTAAACAGCGCTGAGAAATATAAAAACAAATTAATTTATCGAGAATTTATATTTTTTATAAATAATTAAATGCGATATATTTAGTAATAAATAACGAATCATTACTTAAATTCATTGATTTTGGTGTTTGTAGGAATGGCCGGAAGTCCACAATCACTGGCTATCGAGTGAATTAAATGACATATTATTAATGGTATTAATTTAGTATTCATTTTTATTTTAAAAATAACTTTCAAATTTTTATTTTGAACATTCAGTGAAATAATTACATGATAAATAATTTGATATATCAATGAAAATGGTCTGAATAAATTGTGTGACATATCATGTGTTGTCGTCAATGATAAAAATGCTGATCAAATATGCAATTATTGTTATTTATATATTGTCTAACAATGAGATCTATACGTATTCAATATACAATATTATAATGAAATGAAAACTAATCTTGGCTTGATTTAGTGTACAGTACATTGTGTAGTTATTAATGCTACTAATTGACCAGATTTTTATTATATTTAATGGATTTATAAATTTTATTGGAGTTAATCCTATCATATTAAAATATTTTTATTGTAACAGTTGTTATAAATATTTTGCTCACATTTTATTGAATTGTTTTTGAATTTAGAAAGAGAGAGAGAGAGAGAGAGAGAGAGATAATTAAGAAAATCACGATAACTTTTTAAAACATTCATTATTTGCAGACTATTTTAAAAACTTATGCTTTACTTTAACGCTGTATTAAACATGTAATCGAAAGAGTTTCAGAGTTTTAAACAAAATTATAGTAGTTTTTATTTGTTATGTAATAAACAAAATATAATGCTTTCCGTATGAATACTAAATATAAAAAAATACTTGTAAAATATATTGTATAAAAGGCATGTAAATTGTATAAAATACTAAAATATAACTTTTTGTTTAATATCGTTATGTTTTAAAGTTTTAAAACTTATATGTAATTTACGTGCGACTGTTTTGAGTCTAAATTGAAAATAAATTTCAAAAGTTGTGATTTCATTGACAAAATAATAATGTAATTTAAAATATATAAAAAACATATTTTATCGTTCTCTCTCTCTCTCTCTCTCTCTCTCTCTCTCCAAATGACCTCAAATAGCATTTTAAGTTCAATAAATTTCGAGACAAAACCCATACATATTTGTCTCAAAAAATAAATAAAGATGCATTTAATTCTTAAAAAAATATACAATATATGAATAAAACATCAAATTAACGGCTATTCACTCTAATTCTGAACACAATAAAAGGTTTATTTTTATCACCAATAAAAAATAGCTTTTAAATTCATACTACAATATATTGAATTTTATGGCTTTTCGTTAAACGTGATAATTGTTACATTTGGTCGATAAAGTTAAGAATAACTTAATCGCTCTCTCTCTCTCTCTCTCTCTCTCTAATGATCTCTTTAAAGATGAGATAACAGAATTTATTCCTCTCACTACTCTCTCACCGGACCCTCATTTTAATACTTTCCCTCCCTTTCTATACAACCCGTATATTCAAGGCGTCCGTTAATATTAACAATTATTAGTTATAAAATTATGAATCAATTTATTTTATAATAATTTATATTTAAATACATAAATAAAAATAATTAATTTTAATATTAAGTATTTATTAAATCTTACATACTAAATGCAGTCAGAAATAGTAAACTATCTTGATCACGTTAACCGATTCAAACAGTAAAAACCATGGATATGGGAGAACGGTATCTAAGGTGGGGGTAAGAGATGGCTAACAAAGTGATGACACAAATAACAACTTTGTTTATTAGCGAATAATAGGATTACTTTTATTTATTACTTTTTTATTTTATTAACAGTTTGTGTTTTCAAATAAAAGGATTAGATTTTAATCGCTTGTGATATGACATGAAAAAGGCATTTATTATAATATATTTTTTTAGTTAAAAACAACATAATTTAAATTTTGTTTTGATGTTTAAAAGTGTATTTCGCAGACCTTTTGTTGTGATAATGAAATTAAGACAATAAATGCATTGAAGAAAAAATTTGTGTGGTTTTGTAAAACACTTTTAAAAATTGTATTGAAATTTTAAACAATAAACAAAAAACAAAACAATTTTTAAAAAGCATATTTTATTTAATATACTGAGTTAATATGTAATGATAATTACATAAGTATTTTCCGCAATATAACAGTTTATTTTACAAAAATAGACATTAAATAGACGCTTATGTTATAAAGCGGCCAAAATGAATTTATTTAGATGTAACGCATTTGTTGTTTGTTTAATATTTTTCCATGCTAATTAAAATTAATTTATCCATGCATGTCAAAACAAAATTATTGATTTAAGATAAAATATTTGCATAATATATTCAATAAAAATATGTTAATTAACTCCCTTGATCATACTGTATGTGCATTAACTGAACTGTCCCATACATACATACAAACTCTAACAAGTTTCATGTTTGATGGGAAAATATTATTTGTGTTTTTATATATTGTATATAAAAATATTGATAATTTGTCAGCAAATTAATGGACAACAATAAGAATCAAGAATTAGATAAAAATCGTGATTCCTTTCAAACACACGATTTCTGCTTATAATAAGCACATAATTCTCGAACACATATTAATTTTGAATTTTATTTTCCGTGCTTTTTATGTTGAATTGTAATTTAGTTTTATATTTTAAATAATATTATAGTATTGCACCACAGAGTGAGTGAAATATGTTTTTGTAGTTTTATTTTTGGTTTTGTTTTTATTTTTAGGGTAAAATAATAATTATTTGAATTTATTATCTATAGACTGATATTCAATATATTCATATTTTGGTATATATTTTTCTGTTTTTGATGTTTTAATTAAATTATATTTTGTTTTATGAATACATTACCCAATAATGAAGCAAATAATTTAAAAAAACAGGATCTTTATTTCTTTGTTATATTTTAACAAAAATCTTTATAAGTAATAACAATAAGTTAAATCTAATATTAGTATAAATTTTTATTTATATTTAATTAATAAAATATGAATTTAAATTTAATACAAATATAGAAAAATTAGTTTGTTTTAATGTTATAACTTGAAATTAATTCTATAAATGAATAAATTATTTCAATCAGCACGTTAAAAGTATTTGTAAATCTATACAAACTTGTGATATCCTTAAATTTAAAATAAACAATTTGTTTTGTAAACTAATAAGTTATAACATTTAATTATGTTATTAAATAGTAAATCATTTACAAAACAAATTGATATTTAATATTACATAGAAATCATCAATACTTTAAAATATCACATCAGATTTTTAATAAAATATTGTCCATCTAATGTTGTATATCAATCCCATAAGCTTAATTAAATTCTATTAATTCTACTGTAAATTATAACAAAATATATTTGTTGGTTATTCAAAAGATTAGGAGTAAAGTAACCACTTTTATGTTTTAAACAAATCAATTTATTTGCGCATTTTTTCAAAAGTAAATTACAAATTAGTTTGAAATTATATTAAACACACAAAATACACAAAAATCTTATACCAAGAATTACATAAATCAAAATATTTATGTTTAATCAATTATGTTAATTGAGATAAACATTAAAATTTAAAAGTCTTCATCAGGGTCGTCGTTCTCGTCGACCAAGTTGGTCACACCGGGAGATCTGGAGCCACTATTCTCTGCGTTTCTCAATATTGAATTGAATTTATTGTCATTATTGACGGAACGGATGCGCTGATAGTCTTCGCCCGTATGAAACCAAGTGCCCAAAGCGCCAATACGTTTGTTCATGTAGAAAAATTGTCCTGATGATTCACACGGCACCGATAGTTGACTCTCAAAAGTGCATGTTTGCGTCAATTGGTTGAATACCGTCCCATTTCCACATATAAACGAATATTGTAGAAATCTCTGCCATTATAATAGGAATTACTAACTGATATACGCCAACCATATATCCATTAAATATAATAATTGATTGTAAAATAAATTGACACTATGTAGTTTGCTATTACTTATAATTATCAATTGTTTACGATCTCCTCTTCCGCTCACTGACTTATTTATTCATTCAATTTAAATATATAGACAATTATAAAATAAATGATTTTCAAAATATCATATTTTAGTAAATACTTAATAAATAATCAAATTGTTAATCAAATAAAAATTATTTATAATTAATAATTAATTGTTTGTTACCTAATAAATTTGAGTCTAAAAATAGTATTAAATATTATCAACTATTAATATAAGTGTAAATTAACATAATTTTTCAATAAATTCTCTTTGTTTTACACATCTCTTGATTTCTATCACCTTTTAATCAAAAATAGTCAAACAATTAATCAATTAAAGATGTAATAAATAGCTTTATGTAATAAAA